TAACAAAGTAGTACACAATGATTTTATTTCTGAAAATAGTTTCATCAGGTTTGTATAGGATACAGGGAATTTTTCTGGCACTTAAGAATATGTTGTTTAAGTAGTACATTTTACATTTTTTACATTATAGTATGTACACCTACCAAAAATTGGGGTGCACTGGTACACCCACAGAAAAAAAATTGGGCACACAGCTCCAATTTTGGGTGCACTGCCACTAAGGTGCACATGCACCCAGTATTTCCAGCCCTGTAGCCCTAAACGCTGTGAAAGTCATTACAAACTGCATGCCGTACCTCATTTGTGGTCGGCGCAGAATTCCAGTCTGGATTATTCATGAACTCATGTCTGCATCAAGGTCAGATGGAATGGATGTGAGTCAGTGTGACACTGGAAGGTTAATTTGGCCATCGATGCTTGTTTCATTCCTCATATATAACATACAGTTATATGCAGTAAATAATTATGGTTGTGAACATAACTCTGAGTAATTTCTCTTACACAGTTGTGTGTACTGCTGTATGTGACACTGAACCAAGCGCTGACAGCCTTTTTTGCATTTTTGAATTTTGCAAGACATGATCATGAGTAATTGCATGTCTGACTAATCCACAGAATCCCCTCAGTTAATGATCATATGGTGTATGTGACCAGGCCATTAGAAGCAGACCTTTTACAGCAATAAACAGCATGTCGGCAGAACCTACTGCACCTGCGCAAACCCCCCATTTTTCACGGTTTTCTTTGGATGTTTGGTCAACGTTGCATCAGAATTTTGCCTGTTGCAGACAATAGTTTTTCTGACATAACATTTAGAAGCTACAGACAGAGTAATAACCTTATAATAAGTTATATACTCGAATACGACCTTATATGAGACATTCTGCAAAACTGCTATACACAACACATTACGGGTTTCGCACAGGTGCAGTACGTTCTGCCGACGTGCTGCAATAAGGCTAAAAAGGCCTGATTACACCTTACGAAAAAGGGCATGCAGACCATCTAAAAAAATTCTAATGTATGTGACCAGGCCTTTATAGCAGCTGAGCATTTTTACAGCAATAAACCAGCCTGAGCAGCATAGATAGCTGCTCTCAGGTGGTGAGTGTGTGTGTGTGTGTGTGGCAGGTGATAGTACAGACCCCTGCTGATGACCATTATGGTAATGTGGGTAGAGCTCAGATGGGATAGGGGCACTCTCACACACCTAACAATGGGGGTAATCACTACCCTGTGATAAAACATGCATATTTCACTACAGCTAGGGAAACCCTGGAGGGCTGACACTAATGCCATGCATTTAGACAATAAAAGTCATGCAATTTTACGATTGACTTCTAGCATCATTTTGTATAATACATGTACTATATAATAGCAGCAAAATTTTATTCAACATTAGGCCACACCAATTTAATTTGTTGGTTCTCGGATTCGCCTCTTCGTTTTTTTTCTGATTTTCAACAAAAAAAAATTGATTCTGGTCCTGAATCAACTGAAAAATGCTCATGTTTTGCCCCCAACAGTTGAGGAAAGTCCTTTTCTTCCTAGCTGTTACAGTTATTTCATAATTCAATGCAGTGGTATAATTAAAAGTTCAAAATTTATTGTTTAAATTTTGAACCAGCCTGGTGTGTTGACTTCATGGCTCCTATCGTACCATTTTGGACCATAATAGGATGCCTAGGCCTGTTTTTATTTTTTCTCGCCCGGCCGCTCCATTATTTTTCTAGAAAAATCCGTTAACCAAGAAATTAAATTGGTGTGGCCTTACACAATAAAAATTGTGCAATTTTAAGACAGACTCTCTTGTAGTATCATTTTGTAGCAAATTATATTCAATATTATAACTCCATAGCACAAAATGGGGAAATTTGAAAGTCATTTATACTCTGAGCTGACCTTAATGCCATGCATGTAGACAAAAAAAGTCATGCAATTTTACGATTGACTTCTGGCATCATTTTGTATAATACTATATAATAGCTGCAGCAAAATTTTATTCAACATTATATAACTACATAGCATAAAATGTGGGAAAATCAAAAGCCTGGGCTATAAATTTGCCTGTTAAGATTTCAATTAAGATTAGGAAGCAATAAGTACATTAGATTTTGTCTGTTTATTGATGTACTCAGGTTTTGCAATAAAAATTTTGACACAATGTAAAATGATGATGGATGATAAAATGATATCTATGTATGAGGATTAAACAAATAAGTGTTAATATTATCATAAAAGTTCATCTGTGTTGGTAGTAATTATCGCAAAACGTTGAACTTTATTCCAACACACTGAGAGATCGATCAAATTTTCAGCGACCGCTGTCACCTTCATCAGGATAAATAAGTGTTAATAACATAACTCAGTAACATTAACAATGGACATTTGAGATATGTTAAAAAATATCAGATCAATTCCATGGATCAGAGCTTTAACTCTCCACACCACACTAACAATGGACATTTGAGATATGCTGAAAAATATTAGATTAATTCCATTTAAGAGCTTAGCCTCCTTTATCTGTGTGCTAATAGTACAGGGCTTTGCTTGTAAACGAGTTCTGTCATGGCCAATCAATCAAATAAACATTACTGGCAGATCCTTATCAGAGCTACACTCCTCCCAGTGATAGCATGTCGGCAGAGCGTACTGCGCCTGCGAAAAAGCACCTTTTTTTAATGGTTTTCGTTGGAATTTTGGTCAACGTTGCATAATAATTTTGCCTGTTGCAGAAGATATCTTTTCCCATGCACTGATGATAACATTTGGAAGCTACAGACGAGATGTCAACCTTATATGTGCAATTAAATGTGACCTTATATGAGATGTTCTGCTGAAGTGCTATGTACAATACATTACGGGTTTCGCGCAGGTGCAGTACGTTCTGCCAACATGCTCCCAGGGACAGTTCTTTCAGTCACACACTGTCCTGATTCTAAAGGCATATCCATCAATAAATCTGGTATTTCTTGTGTTTTCATCCACAATCATTCCGGCAACAAAAGAAATCTAAAATAATTTTGTTTTTTGTCATTTTTCAAGGTCCAGTCGGTGAGGAAGCTGGCAAACCATGCTGACGGTCTGACGTTCCAAATCACCTTAAAGGGAGGAAAGATCCACACACTGGTGAGATGAACAGTATTGTACATAATTATGTCAATGACTAAAACTTCCAAATCACAGCAAAAGGGAGGAAAGATCTACACACTGGTGAGATGAACACTCCATATGTTAACAGTAGTACATTGTATATGACATTTATGTGTGAACTTGATTATGTAAAACACTTAAGTTCACCTTATAACTAAAGGGAGGAAAGATCCAGACACTAGTGAGATTAACAGTCTAAAATCATTGTTTATGGATTTGACTAAAATGCTACTGTATACACAGTGGTATCATTTTTCTCTTGAACAATAGAAATTTGTCTGCTCCACCAATATCTATTCCCATGGGACAACAGCTATTACAACAGAGCAAGGCATTCATCATAATCTTCAGTTCAATGACTTAACATACTAGTATACTATCCTGGTTCAGCCCTATGCTTTTCATAATGCTGTTTTCTCTCAGAGTCTCTTAAAGAGGTTTGGTCTCATATTCTCCAATAAAATACTGTTTCATATCCATACAAAATATTGATCTTTGAAAGAGGATGGTAACAATTTAACTTAGATTCATGAAATATTTATCAAAGCAGTGATTTCTGCCATAATGACTCAGTCTACAAAGCCAAAACTTCCAGCAGATACTTCAGCTAAGTTGTAAAATGTTATGACTATTACATTAGCAATGCATTTATCACTAAAATATCTGTAAAATATTTTATAAACGTGACATCAATCAGATTAATGTTACTGTAATTTACTTTATGTTCACGGTAGCAAAAGTTCACAGTCTGAGAAAAATGGACATGTTCACGGAACTATATATTCGGTGACAGGTGCAGAAAAAAGAAAGTCCAGGAATTATTTGTTAACTGTAATAATAAGTTCACGGTACAGAAGTGACAGTGAAAGCAGTGAAGATAACAGTACACACACACACACACTCACTCACTGTCCGGTTTATCGTCTGTTCTTCCAAGGACATTATACACAGATAATGTCCTTGGTTCTTCCCAGTCTTCTGAGGGTTAGACGTGCTTGCACAATTCTTCTGCACAATAGTACAGTGAAAAAAAATCAGGAATTACAGTATACATCCATGTCTCTTATTGCTAAGTTAATTGGACGTCTGCTGCCTTTTGCTTATGAATAAATCATCACTCAGGAATATGACTGAGATAAAAGGGATCAGTTTTTGTAAAATTGATGATGAAAATGATTGACTTTGACAGAATAGTCTGTTGGCTGGCCTGCAAATACCTTTTTTTATTCTAAACTACATGCAAACACTTATGTCTTAAGTATGTCTTATCATGTTTTATATAGTTAGTATAGACCAAAACTCGTAACTTAAATCAACAGTGATTGTTTCATTTGATTAATGAGCTTTGTACACTAAAAAAAATTTCATGACAAAAAAGGTGAAGGTGACAAAACTGATTTTTGTTGTTGTTTGACTAGAAAAAAAAATGTAGGTCAGACATGATTAAAATATGGCATTTTTCTCCTAGACAGGTCCTGAATATTCACGATTAAATACTCTAGAAGATTATTAGAATTTGTTGTTTACAATGTTGTTTACAATGATGCCTTGTTAGAATGCAGTTTTCATGACTGCAGTCATAAAATTGAACAAAGAAATCAAAGATGGACAATTTTACCATGAAATTGACTTTGAATTTATATTATACCCATTATGGTGACGTAACCTAAACTGTAATCATGGTGCACAAAAGGGCTTATAATAATTATTTAGAAAATGACAAAGTAGAATACAGTGAACAAAGGGCACAATGAGAATGAAAGATACAGTTCACATGCATACGACCAATATCAAAGACATAATACAAGATATGACATTGTCTAAAGTAAGACCATTTCAAACTCAAAACGTCATTTTCCAACGTTGATCGAATTTGGTCTAGACATCCTTTGCATGGTCCCTAAGTTTCTGTCTGTCCGTCGGGCCAAATTTGATCAATTACGATCGACTGTTATCAGTGCCTGACACGAGACGATTACTGAGACCTACACTCTGTCATCTGAGGCAAACGGACACTCATAAATCTGCACTGATTGCCTTACACTAGTTATAGGGCTTAAAGTTAGGTGTAACACGTCATTCGGTGTGATGTAGCCAGCTGCCGCTGCGCCTCATGCCTGCAAAGCTGGTGTGTTACCCCGAAGGGCGGTTATACATACAGCCATTGTATTTAGACTGTGATTACATGCTGCATACAGCATTATAATTATTGTACAGTCACAATAGCCCTTCATATCTGCATCAGATTGCCCCAATAAACTATATGCCCTTTAAGACTTGGACTTTGTGTTATACTAGTAATTATAACACACAGGGCACACAGGCTATTGAGTCTTTATTTGAGTTGCTGCATCTCAGGGCATTTAAAGTCTTGTACACTCATGTGCTTATATCTACTGTTCATAGCTTGTTACCTTAAAATGAGAAACAGTGTCTCAGTGTTGCTTTGGAAATACATGACTGTTGTATGTTGAACATGGCATTTACCCTAAGCTTACATGTTAACATAGCAACCCAAGTCACCAAAACATCAGGTAATTCCAGCCTGTTTTGCTCTCACAGCAAAAATCCTAGCCTCCGTAGCAGGCTTATAGAACTGGGGGTTTGGTGGTCTTCGGCTGTTTTCTGATTAGCCAAGTTCTTAAAAAACGGGGGTAATTCAATCAGGCCGGCTACGTTGTCTATATGCAATCAGAAAATAGCACATAAAAGCTCCCAAAGACCCTGAAGACCACCAGTTTTTAGCATGCTATGGAGGCTACAAAAATCCCCCGTAGTTGAACCACAAGGATGCCCGGAGGCACTACTTTTTGTGTGGTAAACAAACAGAATTATTCCACCTGAGTTCTGTATCTGTATCTGTATAGCCGGTATAACCGCCTTTCGGCGTAACACACCAGCTTCGCAGGCACGCGGCGCGGCGGCAGCTGGCTATATTACACCGATCGACTTGTTACACCTAACCCTTGAACTTCTAGCTCTAGACATTGTTTAAAGCTATCTATTGACAGTGCCCCTACTGTACTTGGTGACAGTGAGTTCCACTCTGCGATAGTTCTAGGAAAGAATGAATTCTTGAACACCTCAATCCTTGGTTGATAACTCTGGTACTTGAATGCGTGGCTATTTCTTGTTCTCTTCTGGGCTGGTATTAGGTACTTAGTAGTTGGGACATCCACCAGTTTATTAGTCATTTTGTACATCATGCATAGTCTAGACATCTTTCTTCTGTCTTCAAGTGAGGTCCACTGTAGGTTTCTTTTCATTTCCGTGACACTAGCACCTCTTACATAGTTCAGGTGCTGTGTAAGGGTCAGAGGTCACACAGAACTATGCCAGGTCGTACGGGGAGAACCAATCAACCATCGCCGCACAAAGGTCGTTTATTCTCAAGGACAAAGTCTACGGCAGCTATGATTTCTAAAAAAAGGAATGAAAAGAATTAGAATTCCATTTGATTGGGTCATTAGGCATCATGTACATGTAGTGTGAATGTGTGAATTTTGCTCAAATTTTGTGAAATTACTAGTATGTATATATACAATTGTGATTCAAAATCAGTGGCTTGAATAGGCTAGCCAATATTCCAATAGCGTTCATAGATTGCTGTGTGTGCGTGCATTATTCAGAATACAACTCACAATGTCATTCATCTAATTCCTGATTTTGCAATTTACATGCATCAATTTTCAATTGACACAAAAGGCTCTTTATCATGCACCACGATACTTCTATCAAGTGAACGTAAACCTTGACACAAACATAAAAAGCTCAAATATAAAAAAAATTGGAAACAAAGTACAAATGTAGTAATGGAGCTCACTAGACACAGAGCATGTCGGTAGAATGTACGAAACCCGGATTTTTCATGTTTTTTGTTGGATATTTGGACAACGTTACATCAGAACTTTTTCCCAGGATTGCAGATGATATCTTTCTCAACACAACATTTGGAAACTATAGATGGGATGTCATCCTTAGATACACAAATATGACCTTCAATGAGACGTTCTTCCTAATGCACTTAAACATTACAGGTTTGCCAAAATGTTAGTTTTTCAGGCTGTCATCAAGCCTCAGTTGTACAGTGCAAGCACGTCTAACCCTCGGAAGACGGGTAACAACAGACGATAAACCGGATAGTTACTCCGTCAAGCAAATGTATATGATTTTGGAAATGGCCCAGTATGTTTTGCCGACATGCTGTGGTACAGTGATGTATGTATTGCTCTATGGGAGGTCTTCTATAAACATGCTCCATCAGACTGTGTGTGTCCATGCATGTCTGCACCTGATCCCACAGTTTATAGGCAAGTCTGTGGGGAACTTGGAATTCTCTCATCAATAAACACAATTTACTAATACTATACAGAAAATATGAGCATATGGAGGCATAGTTTTTTTCTTACTAATTTTTTCACAATATGTTTTGAAGAAAGGAATCATAGATGAGTGTGAACCAGATGTATTTTGGTTTTAATGTAAAATTCAGAAAAACTGTATATGGCTGATTTTGTTCAGCATTTCTTTCTTTATCCATATGACCATCAGTACACCCTGGTAATATGAATATTTATTGACAATGAAGATTTAGCAAAAAATAATTACCACAGTTTCAATTCAAGGTTCAAGATGTATTAATTTGATTCAGATCAACTCAAAGGCCAAAGAAACCAAAGAAATTTCAGAGAATATTGAATAGATGCAAAGTGAGTTGTGCTTTATTTTATAACAGTTACTGTGCTGTTTTCCCCCCAGATCGGAGAGAGTTCGGACCAGGTGACAGACTGGGTGAAGATGTTACACAAAGCCATGCAGCTCAAACCTGGACACGCCAGGGCTTCTGTTACATGGTGGGTTTGTCATGTTTACTTTCGCAGAAGGAAAACCTATTGTTTTGGCTCCATTTTTTCTTCTTCTTCTTCTTCTTCTCCGAGTCTAATAGTTCGTCAGATAGGTAGGGTTAGCTCAATAGGGTTTCTAAGGGACCGTCTGTGTGTTAAGTCTCCTCGTAGTGGGTATTAAGTCAACAGTTCTGTCAGTTCTTAAAAGTTCTAACCATCATAAAACCATACTTTCACAGAAGGCAAACATATTGTCTTTCTCCATTTCTTCCTTTTCTTCTCCAAACAAATACTAGTAAGGTCAATGACCTGGTCCAGAAAGCTATTGGTGGGCATATTTTTTTTAATCTTTGCAGAAGGAAGAAAATTGTTTTTGCTTCATTTCTTCTTCTTCGATTCCAAAGAAATAAGGTCAATGACCTGTTTTTTTTTAATAACTATGTGTCGCCTACATATGCGGCCAGAAGGAAGATTGAATTAGTCTGCGCAGTAGAACATATTATATGTACCAAAATACACCAGACAAATTGGAAAGTCTACATGTTACAGAAAAATTGGAACAACAGAGAATAGCTAAAAAGCCAGCGAATGGTCTCAGTTCTTTTATCATTCATTTTGTTTTGCTTCTTCATTTCAATACCAAATCTCCAAGCAGAGGTTTGGCCATGCTTTGAAAATTTCTTTGTAGCTCTTTAGGCATTTTGTCAGGGCAACTTTCTATTTTGAAAGCTTTTCTTTGCATTTCCTGGCCTATACCCATAGAAGCTGTCAACACAGAAGAGAAAACACATAAAAAGCTCAAATCTGTCCAACGTGATCTTATCTTGATCCACATTAATAAACTAAGCTTTTGAGTGTATTGCAATGTCAATGTCAATACTTCTAACCATAGATTGCTACAGGTTTGTTCAACTTATAAACCTGATATGTTTGACCTTCAGGCACGACCTTCCCAACATGACCCCTGAGCAAGTGCGGAAGTCGCTGTCCATCGAGAGGACAAGTTCCACCGACTCCACGTCCCCCCTCCCCTCCGTGTCCAGTATGTCATCAAGGTAGGGGCTGTTTTATATTACTGTCTTAGTCTGGAAACAAGATTTGATTGTCTCAAGTTAGGGTTCATCTCATATTTACCTAGCACACAATTTGTAAGTTACTATCCCTCTCTTCTCTGCATCTTTTGCCTTCTCATATCACTGAGTTTAGAAAGAACATCATTTTGATTATGTTTGCTGCTCTGGACATCTATAGTACAGTACTGACAAACTACATGTAATTATAGCAGATACATGTATTATATGTTTGAAACCCCACTGATACATGTTAGAGGTTCGCAGGTAGCTTGCTAGTAAGTGCGGTCGGGAAGATTTGAGAGCAACTTCCTTGGCTTGTATCTTGAGAATAGAGGAGAAATGATGTTCAGCTTCTAAAACTGATATCTATAGACTGAGACAGATACTTGTACATGTCACTTACTGCCTTGCTGATTTCAGGGCGACTTCCCTGGCCAGTAACCTGAGCATGGATAGCGATGGCAGCAGCCTGTACATGGATGTCGGCGACCTGGGGGGCATTGACCCCACAGCCAGGGCCAGCGGCACGTCACAGATCTCATCCACCAGTAGCAGCTCTATGGAGATGGAGGATGGAGTCTACGAGAAGATAGGGGTCAGTTTTCTCTATAGAAGCAATAGTCATCAGTTTTCTCTATTGTCAGTTCTCAAAGTGACTACAGAATTAGTAGACTCTACAGAATCTATAGTTCTCACCAGCAGCAGACTATGGTAAGAATCAATAACTCTCACTATAGAATCAATAGTCTTATATTAAGTTATAACATTAAGTCAGAGGCAATGTTGCCCACTCTGGTATGTAAATGCCCATTTCAAGTTCTAGTACAATCATCATGCTCTAGTGCTCTTGTCATGCATACATGTAGAATTATGCTGTACTTTAATACCGGGTAGGAAGCAGTATCTATGTAGACAAGTGTATACAATTGCCATATTACATTGTAACCGGATCACATCCAGTATACCGGTACATGTATGTACAAAGTTATTTAGAAGTTGCAGATTTATGTTAATGTCATTTACATGTTGTACAAAAGAGTGAACTTACATGTGTGAACACACCATTGTTTCTCCAGGCTTCCAAGGACTCAGCATCTTCCCATTCCAGCCCCTCCCCCACCTCCTCAGCCTCTCCCCCACCCCTCCCATCCTGTCCCCCACCCCTGGGGTCACCGGCCAAGTCTGCACACGGTGAGATCCATCGTTTTGTCACTTAGCCTGGGTACCATCCTAGCCTGGGTACCATCCTAGCCTGGGTACCATCCGGATTTCTGCTCCGCAAAGCTCCAAAAATCCGGATGGTACCCAGGCTAGCTAGTACCATCCTGGTTAGTTTACATCATGACTAAGGCCTTGTTGTATCCAGAACTCAGTGCTTTATCCTGAATCACACTCAGGCATGGTTCTGGATAGTCCAATTTTGGAGAAATGTAATGTGGTATTCTGACTATGTGACATTTCACAGTAGAGGAGGTAACAGTGACATGTTAATAATTGATGATTTTTGTGTTGTAGGTACACCACCAACTTCCCCTGCACGGGTGCATTCTCCCAAGAAAGGCCCTCCAGGTAAGCACACACAATCGTACAGGCATACACAGGTTACGCCAGCCCTGCTTTACCTACTTTGTTTCGAATATCAAGTCTGTCTTCTTGGGAATCAGTTCGTGGAAAATATTGACCCCGGAAAATATTGTCAGATTTTTAGAGTATAATTACAGCTTGGACTTAACACCAATCTCTTTCTCCTTCTGCCAACCTAAGGACCACCCCCTCCCCCACCCCTTCGTTACACACCCCCT